ACTGCGGGGCCCTGGAAGCAGGGGTCGGGTCTCTGCTTGGCCCCTGCCCCACCAAGTGGGAGCCATGGACCAGCAGAGCAGGCTGGCCGCCGGGGGCGGAGGGGCCAGGGAGGCTTCGTCGCCACCCCAGGCCCTAGGTGCCACAACTCCCAACTCCTAAAGGGGAAAACCAGAGTTTTAAGTGGAATCTCCCCAACTTGTGGGGCTTTTGAAAAATCAGCCTCACTAAAGTATAATTTACATACGTACAACCAAACGTCCCCACGTGAGGGACTTTGAGGAATTTGACGAGCGAACACGCAACCCAGACAGCACCCTGGGCAGCCCCAGGCCCGCTCCCGGGCAGCCGTGGTCACTGTGTGGCCTGGAAGGTTTGGAAGTCACAAGATACGTCGTCGAAGTCCCCGCTCAGGTGATGCTTTTGAGAGCCCCGTGCTGCTGGGCTCCTGTGGCCAAGGATTAGTCCACGTGGGGTACAGACACTGCTGCCGCCCCACCTTTAGGCAGGGAGTCCCTGCTCCCCAAGGCCGGGGCACTGGGCCACACGCCACCCGGAAGTCAGGATGCCGAGGCTGGCAAAGGGGGGGGGGGGGACTCAGAACAGCAGCTGGGCCCGGAGTCGGTCCCTGTTTTTTTTGGGTTTTTAAAAATAAATTTATTCATTTTTGGCTGCGTTGGGTCTTCGTTGCTGCACGCAGGCTTTCTCTAGTTGCAGCGAGCAGGGGCTGCTCTTCGTTGCGGTGCGCGGGCTTACTGCGGTGGCTTCTCTTGCTGTGGAGCACGGGCTCTAGGCACCGGGCTCAGCAGTCGTGCCACGAGGGCTCAGTAGTTGCGGCTCGCAGGCTCTAGAGCGCAGGCTCAGTAGCTGTGGCACATGGGCTTAGTTGATCCACAGCATGTGGGGTCTTCCCAGACCAGGGCTCGAACCCGTGTCCCCCGCGTTGGCAGGCAGATTCTTAACCGCTGTGCCATCAGGGAAGTCCCGGCCCTTTGGTTTTGAGCGTGTGTGACAGACGAGACTCAGGCCCTGTGGGAGAGGCATCGAACCAGGCCCTGCGGCCTGCGACAGAACAAGGGTGGCCTGGGGAGAGTAACCCAGGGAGGGGGTCGGGCAGGAGTGGCAGAGGCCACGGGAGGGGAGGTGGCCCCTCACGAGCATCGTGAAGGCCAGGCCCAGAGGGGGCCCCAAAGCAGGGCTGGGGAGGCCTGGTCATCAAAGCCCTCCCCAGCTTGCGGCAGTCCAGAGGCTCAGTGGGGACGGAGGCCAAGCAGGCAGGCAGTGCTGCAGTCCCGTGGCGACGGCAGCCTGGGCGCCGGGAAGCTGCAGCTCCCAGGCAGAGCCGGCCACCAGGAGTGCCACACTCCTGTTGCCTCCAGGCTGACGGCTCTGGGCAAACCTACTGGACGCTTCGTGACCTTCCAGCACAAGTGGCGAGGACTGATGGAGCCCTGGAGCCTGTGAGCGCCCAGGGTGAGACAGGGTGCTCCGAGGCGCCGGAGGGTCCAAAAGGAGGGTGCATGGCTGTGGGGTCAGAGCCACAGCGCATGGCTGGGGAGGGCACAGCCTCAGGGCTTCGTGCTGCAGCCTTACCGCCAAGTGTACCCAGAACAGCTGAGTGGCAGACTGAGGCCCCAGCGCCCCGGGCGAGTGTGGCACCCTCGCCCACCCTTCTTACCCATGGGGGAAGTAAACCCGGTGCCACAAATGTGAACAATCGAAACATCCCTCCCTTTGCCCCCGTTTACACTGGTCTGATGTAAAACCACTGTGTCTGGTCACTATGTCACATGGCTCCCCACAGAGAACGCAGAAAGGGGTCCACCAAAGCCTGGAATTCCCCCAGGCACACAGCTCCTCTGGCTGGGAACCCACACACAGCTGTGTTCACGCAGGTGTGCACTCACGCACAGGTACACTCATCATACAGGTTCTGCTCCTCTCAACACATCCCAGAGGACATTCCCCATTGGCAGGCAGGTGCCCTTGTCCTCTGTGGTCATGAAGCCCACTGTGGGCGTGGGACTTCTTTTTTCTTAAATGTTTACCTGGCTGCATCGGGATCTTTTTACTCAGTCGCAGCACGCGGGATCTTTCGCTGTGGTGTGCGGGCTTCCCTAGTTGGGGTGCGCGGGATCTTAGTTCCCCGACCAGGGATTGAACCTGCATCCCCTGCATTGCAAGGCGAATTTTTTTTTTTTTTTTAAGATATTGGGGGTAGGAAGTTTTTTTAATTAATTAATTAATTAATTTTTGGCTGTGTTGGGCCTTCGTTTCTGCGCGCTGGCTTTTCTCCAGTTGTGGCCAGCGGGGGCCACTCTTCATCGCGGTGCGCGAGCCTCTCACTGTCACGGCCTCTCTCCTTGCGGAGCACAGGCTCCAGACGCGCAGGCTCAGTAGTTGTGGCTCACGGGCCTAGTTGCTCCGCGCCATGTGGGATCCCCCCAGACCGGGGCGCGAACCCGTGTCCCCTGCGTTGGCAGGCAGATTCTCAACCACTGTGCCACCAGGGAAGCCCGCACGGTGGATTCTTAACCAGTGGACCACCAGAGAAGTCCCTGGGTGTGGGACCTGACTCATCGTGTCTCCTGAGGGGTGAGGGAGGGCCTCCCCCACCCTCTGGCCATTTCAAACTGCGGCGGCACCTACCGTCCACCCGCTCGCACATGGGTGACACACGCCTCCTCTCCTGAAGCCCCAAAGACTGCTGGGCGGAGGCCCCAACAGTCTCCTCAGGCTCTCGTCACACCACCTGCCAAACCCTCACTGCCCCCGACCGATCGGCGAGAAGACAGCCAGCCTCTCACCTGACTCGCCAGCACCCTGCACGTGCCTGAGGGCAGGGTCACTGCCCTGGCCATGAACCCGGCACCACCACCCGCTGGTGACGGTCAGGAGAGGGACAGGCGGCCAACGGGAGCAGGTGCTCCCGGCACTAAACTGTCCCCGCTCTCCCCCTGCAAATTACCTGCGCACGTCACCTTGTGCAACTGTGTCTGACCCCATAGGTACTTGTCAACTCCGCTGTCCTAACTGCAGTCACTCTGAGGGCCCGGGGTCAGCAGGGATGGTAGCTCTGCTGGAGGTGGGGCAGGGGCCCGAGGGGACTGGGTAGGGGGGCGTGCAGGCCTCCGAGCACCCTCCAAGGATGGGGTTTTTGTTGCGTGTCTGTAGCAACGAGGCCCCCCTGGCGCCCCCGTCTCTTCTCGGCAGCCGTCGGGGCAGGCCCGGGAGAGGCCCACCACCGTTCACCTCTGGGGGGTCCGGACCTGGCTGGCCCAGGGGCCTCAGGAGTGGACGACGTTCTGGCTCTATGGTCGTCTTGGACACCCCGAAAGCACGTTTCTTCCTAAGTCTTGCTTGGCCCTTCTCGTGGCCCCCGGTGTGCTCTCTCTGGCCACTCCCGGGAGAAGTCAGCCCCGCCGGCAGGAGGCACCGGGCGAGCTGGGCACTGGGCGAGCTGGGCACTGGCTTCTGTGCTGCATGCGGGTCGGGCCGATCCCCAGATGGGCAGCTGGAGTGAGAGCCCGGGCACCAGGTGTCTCCCTGCTAATGAAGGGAAGCAGGGAGGGCGCAAGCACCAGAAAAGCACCAGCGAGAAGACACGCCGAACGTGGCCATGGCGCAGCAAGTGTCCCTCCTGGAACCTTCTCATCGGAAAGGCCCAGCCCCGCACACGTGGGGAAACGACTCTCTGCTGGCGGAAGGAACAGACACTCTCTCGGGGCAGCAAAGGGCCCACCCGGGGACCCCAAACCCACCCCGATGGTGAAGTGGGCCTGCAGCCCAAACTCAAGATGGGCTTTAAAGCCTCAAAATCAAAACAGAAGACCAGGAGCCCGGAAGTCCTGGATCTGCCCACGCCCGGTACTCCAGAGACCCGACCCGGTCCCGGAGGCTGCGCAACCACATCTGAGCCCCACCCGCCCCAAGTGCCCCAACCCGCCGGGCCTCCTGCAATGAAGACACACACAGCGCTGGGCTCGCAGTTCACAACTTTAATAGAATATTCTAACTAGTCTGTACAAATTGAAAACACCGTATTCAGTTACAAATGTATCATAAGTAAGGCTGAGCACTCTACAGCCTGGCCACAGTGTGGATGCCCCTGGGGCCAGAGGTCACACACTCGACACCCACATTCCAGCCAAGGACGGGTCGCTCGGAGCCCAGGGCTTTTAAGACAAGGTGAATGTGAGGCTGAGAAACAGGAGCTACCGAGAAAGCAAGACATTTTACACACTACGTGGGAAAGCTGTACTTTCCTGCCCGAGCCCCTCCCCGCGAAGCCTGGCAAACCCTGGCTCTGCCCATAGCCCCACCCCCGTCCTCAGCGCCAAGCGTGGTCCGTGCGTCCCGAGAACCAGCCCCGGCCCACGGCTGGCGGGAAGGAGGCCTCCTTCCATGCGGGCGGACCACCAACTCTTGCTCGGGGCACCGGGTCTCTGGTGCCCACAGGGTCTCAGAAACTCGAAGGACAGCTCACGTCCCAAGCCCTCACAAGCGTGAGAGAGAAATAAATACGAGATGAACCACACAAGCTCGCACCTCAGGCTCAGCGGGCGCCGCGACCCTCACCCCAGCCCCAAGGAAAATAAAGCCAAAGAGCGAGCGGGACGAGTGCCAACCCCGGCCGGCTCTCCCGAGACAACTGGAAACGGCATGTGGGTTTCTTCCAACGAAACAGGAAAAATCCTGTCCGATGGCGGGAGGGGTGAACTGGATCTATGTGCCCTGGACACGCGCCCCACGCGCCAAGTGATCCGCCCCCACCCCACCGGTCTGGGAGGCCTTCCCCAGGGCAGGGTTGGGCGGGTCCACTGAGCTGCACCCAAGGCCGTAGAGGGTGCTGGAATTAAACCTCCTATTTCTGAAATGCATCTGAGTTGCCACTGTACAGGTTAAGCAAAATAATAAAGTAAAAGGAGAAGTTAAAGTGAAAATCATGCACTTGAAAACAAGTTATAGGCGTAAGCACTTGTCCACACGAGCGAGCGGCGCCTCACTGCTGCTTGCACTCCGAGGGCTGGCTGGGCTCCTTCTGTCAACGAGAGAGAACAAGACTTGTAGAAAACTGAGCAATTCCATCAACCAGGCATCTCCGACCAACAACGAAAACAAAGACTCAAGTATTCACTCGTTCTTGCTGAAAACATGGCCACTACAAATATACTTTAAAAACAGTAACAAATAAGCAGCTAACTTCCCAGAAACAAGGTCACAGCGGGGCTGCCTCTTTCTGTATAAAGACATTCTAATTCTCAGCAGGAGGGTCTCGGGGTGAGGGAGGTCCTCGGGTGGCAGACAGTAACTAAACGCACAGCAGTGCCCTTGTCCCAAAGCTGGCAGGCGCCTCAGCTCTGGGGTGAGCACACGGGGAACAGCGCTGGCTCCCCTCCATCCCCGAGGTCAACAAGGCTCCCGGCGCTGCCTGGAGCACACCTGCCCCCAGGCCGGGCCCTGAAGCAAAGCCTCTCCTGCACTGGCCCGTGGCGCCCCGACAAAGGACGAGAGGCCACTAAGAACTCCACAGCCAGGCCCCAGTCCTCCCAGGAGCCCCCTCGGCTGGGAATTCCGTCCTTTCAGAGAAGGCGCAAGCGAGACAAGGAGCAGACGCACTTCTGTGTGGTCTGGCAGCTGCGTCTCCTGCCGCTGAAACCCGCTTAGCGACCCCATGAATGCTGTGTGGAGGCCAAGAGCAGCCTGAGAGACAGGTAACGATTTCACCAGTACTTCTGAGCAAATGAATTTACTCGTCAGTAACCTATGATCTCGGCTGCGAAGATGACAGATTACTCTGAATACAACTTGGCACGTCTACGGAGTCTTAAGAAAAAGCCGCACCACACAGTTCAGAAGAACTGTCTGGGATAACACAACTGACACCCTGCATGGAATAAGCTGGGCTACAGTTCATTCCTTGGGAAACCACACCTAAGGGATGAAAAAGATGATGTGTAAACGGTGCATGAAGACGAAACAATAATCTGGGGCCCGGGGCTAAGCTCCTGGTTTGTAAGTGTAACAGCACAGGGACAAGCTGGGACTTCCAGGTCTGGCCCGGGTCTCGGCCCAGCACTGCCCAGTACTGCCCAGCACTGCCCAGCACTGGGCCAATGGCGCCGGCCCATCACGCTCACCGGAAACACTGCCGAAGAAAGAGCCTGGGCACCAAAACAAATACCCCGACCAGAAATCCTAGTTGAAAGAGACCCAACTCAAACTCTGTCATCTCAAGCGGAGACCTGGAGGTGGCCCAGACTGTGGCCAGGGGGATCAGACGCCAGCCCCAGACTCGCTGGGGAGGCGCAGAGGTGCCCCAGGACTGAGACAGCACTGGCAGGGGCTGGGGCAGTGGCGTGCAGCCTTTTGTGGACGGGGGAGAAGTGTGTGGGTTTCCATAACTGGATCTGCAGAAAGGAAGGAGGTGAGAGAAACTGAAGCTGAGGGAGTGGGACGGTGTCGTGGCTGTGGTGTGGTGTGGTGGGGTGGGGGGGGGTGGGGCGGGCGGGCGGCACAGCGTGGCGGGCTCGCTGCTCTACATCCTCTGGGTAAATACATACGCAGGACGTACAGGACGCCACAGATGCAGAGCAGCACAGGGTTTACCATGTGCTGTCTCAGTGACATCACATCTACCTTTAACCAGGAGAAGGCATCAATCATCTGTCTGTTTACAACGAACTCCTTCCTCGGGTGCTGAAGACTGCTAGAGAGAAGGGTCCTCGCCAAAACCAAGACCAGGACGGGCTGTTGTGAGGGTGGGAGCCGGGTGGGGACCTTGTGTTTAGACAAGAGGCAGAAGGTGGGGCTTGCCAGGCAGCAGAGGGCTGGGCTGTCACCAGCATCCCACCTCCCGAGGGCCACGTTTAGCCAGTGTCAGCGCACGCGCGCACGCGCGCGCGCACACACACACACGCGCGCACGCAATTCCCAGGCTGCGGCACCAGCGCTGAAGCCTGGAGCCACGCATGTGGGCTTCATCACCGGGACACCATGGTTTCGGCCCGTGACACAGGGCAGAGCAACACTACACTAAACCCGAGCGCCCTCTGCCCCACGGCACGAAGCTGTTGGAAGCCCAGTCTCTCACGCTGCCGCTCGTCAAGGGACGGGAGTCAGTGCTTCAAAGGCACAAACTAACAGTCAACACCCTGCCTGGTGGGGGTGGGCACTGAAAAGAAGGGCTTTCACTGCTGGCAGGAAGCACACGCCACCACCATGGCCTCAGGGCTGGGGGCCCGAGGCCCGAGCGCCTGCCCAACAGCCCATGACACGACCCCCTCCACGGGGCGCCTGACGACAGAGGCGAGACGGCACGGCTGTGGTTCTGCCACAGAAGAGTCCTCCTTGCCCAGAGGTACAGGCTGGACCGTTTATGGACGCTTCGCAGTCACGGGCAGGGTGGGGAGCAGTGGGGCTTCGGGCCAAACCAGCCTGGCTGACACGTTCTTCAGATACACAAGGCAGCAG